AAAATCAAATTTTGCATAAAAATGTTTTTAAATTTTCTAGAGTTCGAATTCATTTATCTTTGCTATCTTTGCACCAAATTTTCATTATTAGGTTTCAACAATTTTCCTTCAGTGTTGGGAATCTAAATAAATATTCATTTTCATTAAAATAAAGAAGGTTATATCTAAAAGAATAGCGTCCGCTGATTTACTTGAGGTAATATTTAGCTATAAGCAGTTTGTGTAATAGTTAAATTAAAATATTCCTAAAATTTAGCAGGAAGTGTTGAATTTCACTTTTTATTATGATTTTAGAGGTATGTTAAATTTAAACAAAGTGAGCAGAAAGTAAATATCTAGAGACCAGCCGATATGTTCCATAACTCCTCTCTGTTCCAAAATTATAAGGTCACCTCTATTTTCACATCATCGAGATTTTGAAATATGAAAATCAACGGAAAACGGGGGTAGACGTCTTCAAAAAATATTATCGGTCCCTTAAAGTTGAAACAAAAAATTTATTTTTGGCTTATCTGAAGGCCATTGAAATTTGCTACAAGTTATGTAATTATCGATGACTGTCGGTATACCGCGATTCATTCCCGGAACGTTTCACTGTATGCCGTAATATAAACCATGAAGTTCGTTAATATTCTTTGCTAACAAAATTTATTAAAGAAGGATCCTCATTTCATTGTTATAATTGTGGAATTAAGCAAACAAAAACATGGTTGCATCATTCAGAACCTGGACAATATTTATGTCAAACATGTTACGATTGGGAAAGTAATAAAAAGAGGAAAATAAAATGTTTAATGATAAGGAATCGAATGAATGAAATAATTCAGAAACGAGAATGGAATTTTGTTAGAAAAGCAAAAAAGTTGAATATAAAAAATATAATTGAAATTAGATAACAATGTTTATATTATTTTATACTCATTTTTATCCATTCATCGTTAACTGTAGTCTGTTTTCCCCAAATTGTAGCGCTTTCAACTTCGATCTATAATAACAGAGTAAACAAAATTTTAAAGCAAAATCAACCATCTGCCTTCGTATTTTTAATTGATTTCTTTATTCTTTGCTGTTTATTGTAACAAGCAGCACATAAACTGTATCCAGGTATTGAATAACGGTACCAACGTGGTGTATGAGTAACATCGCAAATAGAACAAATTCGCTCTTGTGGTGTTATCTATATAATTATTAAAAAGTATGCAAATTTATAAAAGTTCTTTTACATCAAAAACAATTATTTATTAAACTATACAAATTTACGAAAAGTTTAGTTTAAGGAAAGGGCAAATATCGGTTTAGTCAAAATGAGTCCGAAATGAGTTAAATAAGAATTTGATTGAATATTAAATATTTTAGAATTATCATAATATGTAGTTCTTGTTAAAGACAAACCTTTTTAATTTTATTCCAAAATTCTTTTGGTCTATGCTTTCCATTATTCCTTTGATTATATATGTAGCATAATTGGCACAAATAATGCTCCTCTTTCAGGTATTCATACCAGTTCTTAGTTAGTGTTGTTTCACAATTGAAACATTGTCGTTTGTATATTTTATTAATTACATCTATAAATTTTAACAATAAATATTCAAAATTACGCTAAATAAATCCAATTAACTAAATTTACTTATTTTATTGCCTATATAAATAATTTTATCCTTTAATTCTTTCGGATATTCAACTTTTTGTTTTTCTACCAATTCAATTTTATATCCAATTAAATTAATTTCCGTCCAATAACTTCTTAGAAGTTTGGCTTTGTAACTTTCTATATTTTCTTTTAATAATTCTTTTTTATTCATTTTTTCTAAACTTTCTTCTAATATCGAAGTTTCATAATAATTATTATTCATGATAAAATTATTATTTAGGCGAATCTATAATATATTAAATTTGTTTATCTATAATATATTAAACCTGTTTTTCCAAGTTTTTCAAATATTTCTTAACAATTTCATTATTGGCAATTTCAATCAAAATTCTCTTTTTAAATTGAGAGATAAATTTAGACCCATGATTTAGTTTAACAATAAAAACTCTATTAATAGGATTTACTTCAATTTTACTTAACGATCCAGTATTTTTGCAAAGATAATCATCTATTCTACTTTTTTGTTTTACATTCATTATCAATACAAAACGTTCCTTTATTTGAATATTTTTTAAATAAATAAATTCTCTTTTTTCTTCCCAATCGTCTTTTATTTTTAATCCAACCTCAACCATTCTACCTTTGATTTGGATACTCAACAGAACAATCAAATATGAGAGAAGAATTATAATAAATCTATTCATTTTAAATTTTAATTTTAAAAATATCCTATTAAATACAAATATAATAGATGAATTAAATAATTTTATTAAATAGTCTTAATTTAAATACTGTCTTTATTTATTTTGAAATACATATATAAGACGTTTAAAAATAAATATTTGCACTTTATATTTAATGAAAAATTCATAAGATTAGTCCGCATGTCATTTAATATTTTGAAATTGTACTTTATTTTTATTTGTCAATCGGCGGGATAAATAAAGTAATTTGCACTTTTTGTACTTTGACTCGTTTAATATTATTAGTTTTAAATAGTTTAAAATATTTTTCAGAAATATAAAACGTGCAAATATTTATTTGAAATGCCGCTATTTTCAAAATAAATAAATAAGTTGTTATATTAGGCTATTTAATGGAAGAAAAGTTTGATGACTATATAACTTTTATTTTTATTATTATATCCATTTATAATGTATTGCAATGGATTGTCTTCCAAATTATTTTCAAATATTATGTTCGGCATAATTAGTGGTCGTTTTTTAAATTAAATTTTTAGAGGGTGTTGTTTTACAAATTTTCTTTTTCATTATTAATAGGCATAAAGATCCGAATCTACTCTTAATTTTAATACTAGGATTAACTATATATGGGTGATATTTTTAAAAGTATGATTTTTTGAACTTCACAATCTAGTAGTGAAATTCACAATCATTTAATCGAAAAATTTTAAAGTACCAAAAATAAAAAAATGAATCGAATAAACTTAATGATCTAGCCAATGGGGTCGTTTTCTATGCTAGACATCAAAAAATAGAGTTCAAGCTTTATAAGTAAGTCGTGTAACTCTCAGAACCAGACATGGTCGAGGGAAATTTCTTTTATACATATGGCCACGCTTGATAGAAAAACGCTGCGAGCACTTAAGGAATGCAAATCAAATGCCCCGTGTACTCTCTTTTGGACAAATAAAAACAAATGGAAATGGAAAAACGGAAAAATGGAAAAACGAATTTTTAAAAAATAAACAAAGTAATATTTATAACTGATGAAACTCTTTATAAATAATATATAGAATACATCAAAGTTTTCTTTTGTCGGAAGATGCAAAACGTCAAAATGTTTTGTACGTCAAAATCAAACAACCCTGGGGGTAGCAGAAAATACTAAATAAACAAGTGTCTCTGAGAATGATTATCGTGAACGGGAAAAATAAAAGTGTAGGTATCAATTCTAGAGTCATGTGTAACACTATTTCAAATTTCAACAGATACAACTAATGATAAGTTAAGCATTTAAAATCATTGGAGTTAAACTGAAAGGCGGATAAAAAATTCTATCAACGCAGCAATAACTGACATTATTAATTTAAGAATATTCAATATATTTATTTATCATCTTAAAATTCTTTTGCACTCGGCATTTCAAAATTAAATGTCAAAATATTGCATCATGCTTATTAATAGTAGAGTCACAAAGGGAAATATAGTTAAATAAATTTAAATCAATTAAAGGCATGAGATTGATTTGCACTTTATGTCGGAATTTAGTAAACAAGCATATTGCTCATCCTTTTTTACAATAAATCCTCTATATTCTCCTCTTTTATGCTACAGCAAATTATTTTTATAAGAAGAAAAAATTAAGAAAAATAACCAGTAACTCAGATATGGCTATTGTACTTGAGGATTTCAATTTCATTAATTACTCTTTTTCGTATTTTGTAGAAAATAATCGCGCTTATAAACCCTAATGTATTACTTTCAACCAAAATTTTAGTTTTTATTTACTTTAATTACCGTATTTTTCCCAATAGAAGCGCATGCGCTTCTATATTAAACCCCCTCGTAGACTGCGCTTCTATTGGGACGTGCGCTTCAAATCTATAAACATAACTATAAATAAGCTACAAAATAGAAAAAAAAACTAAGTCGAAAACTGCTTCCATCATCGAGATCTCAAATCTCGAAAATCAACGGAAAATAGGGTTACAGTACTTTAAAAAATATTTTATCCCATTTACAGCATATATTAAAAATTTTCTTTAGGCCTATCTGAAAGCCCATAAAATTTGCTACAAGATACAAAAGGGCTCATCTTTCTAAAAAATTTATCGGTGTCGGCATTCAAGCTTAAATAACTAGCATACCAAAAATAGCCTAAAAATGCACTATTATCGGTAAGAGGTTATTCTAGCTTGAGTATTTACCGGATAAATTTTTTTAGAAAATTATGTTATTTTGTATCTTGTAGCAAATTTTATGGGCTTTCAGATAGGCCTAAAGAAAATTTTTAATATACCGTATTTATTCTAATAGAGTGGCCGCCACTCTATTTTTCGATACCCCCAAAAAGGGGCCATTCTATTGGAGGGGCCATTCTAATTGAGGGGCCATTTTATTAGAATAAATACGGTATGCTGTAAATGGGATAAAATATTTTTTAAAGTACTGTAACCCTATTTTCCGTTGATTTTCGAGATTTGAGATCTCGATGATGGAAGCAGTTTTCGACTTAGTTTTTTTTTCTATTTTGTAGCTTATTGATAGTTATGTTTATAGAAATTTTTGTTAAATTTTAGAAAATTTTTTTCCGTAATTATCGGTATTTTTACAAACTGTTTGAGGATATTTGGAACGCCTGATTTTTTGAAAATTTATCATAACTTTTGATAAAATCATCAGTTTGCAAAAATTTTTTGTAAAATAGAATAGTTTTTGCTGCTGAATCAGTATCTAAAAAGATTATAAAAAAGTAGACAACCGTAAGTCGATTTATCTGAAAAATTGGGGGGTGTCGAGGTTTTTTGGAACGGAGTTTATTGTACTTGAGGATTTCAATTTCATCTTTTTGGTATTTTGTAGGAAATAGTCACGCTTATAAACCCTAATGTATTACTTTCAACCAAAATTTTAGTTTTTATTTACTTTAATTACCTTATACGATTAGTTAAGCAAAATTATCGTTAAAATCTCAAGCTAGTCAACTTAATTTTAGCTCTTAGGAATGAAAATAAAATTTATTTTAATATTCCTATTTATTTTTGTTGTAGTTAACAGTCGAAGTCATGGTGGAAAAGGCTATGGAAAAATGGACAACCTGGAAGAAGTTTGTCAGATTAAACAAAAGTTGGGAATCATTGAGAAAGAAATGAAGAAATTACATATTAATTATGTAGGTTGTAATTAAAATATTGTTAAATTTTAAATGTAATTTCTGGAAAACAAAATGAGATCTAAAATATAATCTCTGGTCATATGGTCCAAATAACAGTAAAGGGATATTGAGTTGGTTACATTACCCGATCTTAGTGTCATTAAGAATCTTAGAGCTCTAAACAAATCTATCTCTTTTTAATAGGCATGACTCCAAACTTATTGACTATAAAATTTCACAAATCTACAAAAACGTTTAGGACCTCAACAATTTGTTTGTCATTGCCAAGGCTTCGAACTTGCAAGAAGCATTTGATAACATTAAAAATGTCAAAGAAACATCCCTAACACTTTTCAACAATTTCAATGATAAAAAATATGGCAAAATTCAAGAAAAATTACTAAATGGAAAACTCATAGAGAACAAAATATTATATGACATGAACTATTTGACTGGAGTTTTTAATAGGTTGTGGGTACATTTTGCAGGAAGCTACGGAGTTGAGGAAAATATATTTGATGAGGCCATTTCAATTTGGAAATCAATTGCTTATAATTTTAAAATCCCGGCCAAGTTCGGATGCTTTTGAGGGAAGAAGCAGGAAGTCGAAAAATATAGTAAGTGATTTTTATTAATTCAAGAAATAACAAAATGCAAAAAATTGATTATAACATGGAATGGATTAGAAAAAATCATTTACAAACGAGCGGGATTTTTATCTAGGCAAGCCGAAAAGTGCAAAGAATTAAAAATATTAAATTAAGCCATCATGCATGGGTTCAAATAGTTTACTATTTTGCGTTACCTAATTTTATTTGAAAATAAAAAATGATCAGGCTAGTAACTCAAACTACTTATTTTTCTTTTAGAGCATAAGCGAATAAATTTTAAACAATTTTTGACTCGTCGCAAGCGCGCTGATGATGGAAGCTCGGGTTGTTTTGGGAATGAAAATAGTGGAGATGGATTTTGCCATGGAAAATATAATTGTTTAATAGCCTGGATTATAATTACGCTTGGCATAATTGCGACAATCGTGGTTTTTATTTTGAAGTGGTGGAAAGCACATCATTGAATCTGAGAAGGGAAATATGAACAAAAATTTAATTTAATTTAAAAGCTTAACTAAAATTAAACTGAAATTGTTAATTATACAAGGGATTGGATTTTTACGTTATAACCAGACTTGCACACGGATACGGATACAAATAATATCAAAATGCCTGCGGATATCCGTCTGTATCCGCCCGTATCCGCCGTAAATATCCGGATACGGATACCAAGATAAGTATCCGTGTGCAAGTCTGGTTATAACCTATTTTTCTATTGGGTATTTTCTTTCTTTTAGTATACAATTTATCATTCAGTCCTTGTCTCAGTCAGTTTGCTTTATTACTCTTTTTTATTCTATTTTGTCTTCAAAAAATATTTAAAATTATTTAAATTATTAAATTATTAAAATATTTAATATTTAAAAATCTTCAAAAATCACAATGATACAATAAAAAATTTACCAAAAAGTTTTTATGTATTTTAAATAAAAATTTATAAAATATTAAATTATGATAAATTAAAATTTAAATGCAATAAACTCTGTCAGCAGGAAGGAGTTAATAAAGAAAAAATATATTAAGGAAGTAAAATCTTGTAACCATTTGATCCATAGATTTTCATTGACATTTTGAATAAAATTTAAAGTTGCTGCAACGACAAGATATCAAATAAAATTAGATAATACAAAGGATTTGAGAAAATTATATAAGAATTACATTTTTTGAAATATTCTTTTGCCCACGGCATGAGCTTTAATTTAATTTGTGTTTTGTTTTATTTAGTCTCACTAGTCATTATAACTATATTTATTCATTCATCATCCTTTAAATTTTTAGTTGTTTTCGTCCTTTTCCTATATTGTTTATGGTAACATGTATTACACAAATCGTTTTCAGACAATGACTCACGGTACCAGTGTGACGTTTGGGTTATACCGCAATTACTGCAACTTCGATATTGTGTATATCGCTAAAATATTTATATGAATACAATTGATAAGAAAATTTTTTGTGCAATTTAATCTCTGCTAAAGAAAGATTTTTGTACAGAGCAATGACTTTTAGAAAGTTTTAAATAAATATAAAGTTTTAGGCTTGTCATGATCCAAAATAACGTATAAATGTAAACCCATATATTGATAAAGATAACCTTATTTGTATTAAACCATAATTCATTTGATCTAAACTTCCCATATTTGTTTTCATAGTTGCCACATTGTTTGCACAGGTAATGTTCTTTTAATAGACTATACCAATCTTTTGTCTGTGATACTCTACAATTGAAACACTTTCGTTTATTTACCTCAATTATTCCACCTATAATTATCAAGGATAATTTTTTAGTCAAATGAAAAGTTAGCCAAATTACAAACTTAATTACTTATTTTATTGCCAATATAAATAATGCTGTCTTTTAATTCATTCGGATATTCAACTTTTTGTTTATCTAGCAAATCAATTTTATATTTAATTAAATTTATTTCCGTCCAATAATTTAATAAAAGTTTGTCTTTGTAATTTTCTATATTTTCTTTTAATATATTTAAATTATTTGGTTTTATATTATCCAGACTTTCTTCTAATATAGAAGTTTCATAATAATTATTATTTATGATAAAATTATTATTTAGGCGAATCTTAGATAAATTAAATTTTAGGCTTAATTTTCGAATAATAAAAAGATAAAATACCTGCTTTCCCAAATTTTTCAAATATTTCTTTACAATTTCATTATTGGAAATTTCAATCAAAATTCTCATTTTTAATTGAGAGCTAAATTTTGACCCCTGATTTAGTTTAACATTAAATACTTTTTCAACAGGATCTATTTCAATTTTAAAAAACGATTCAGTATTTTTATTGAAATAACTTTCAATTTTATTTCCCCGATTTACATTCATTATCAATACAAAACGTTCCTTTATTTCAATATTTTTTAAATAAATAAAATCTCTTTTTTGTTCCCAATCTTCTTTTATTTTTAACCCAACCTCAACCATTTTACACTTGATTTGGATATTCAACAGGGCAACCAAATATGAGAAAAAAATAATAATAAATTTTTTCATCTTAAATTTTAATATTAAAAATATTTGGGTTCTACTCGACTTATGAGCATACGGAAATTTCGAGAATATGTTAAGGAACGGTCCGAAATAAGGAATGGTCCCAGATATAAAATGTCTTGTTATAACTAGAGTACGTCCGATAAACTTAAATACGATAAATGCTATGGAAAAATTCATTGGATTGAAGATAGAATAGAACCATCATGTGTTCTTTTTCACAATCAAGAAAAAGAATATTTAAAATTAATTGATAAGGAATATTTAAATTATGTTTCTCGGGAAATAGGAAAAACAACATTATTTAAAATAAACAAAATATTAAAATAGGAATCCGACATCAGGCCAAATAGTTATAATAGTTTAATTAATGTTTGAGATCATATAAATTAATGGGTAATTTTGAATTTCGTACCCCCCCCCCCCCCCCCCACTTTTTTCTTTCTCAAAGCGTTAAAAATGGTCAGTCTTCAGACGAATGTAGAGCACAATGAGTTGTGTCGAATGACACAAAAATAAAAAAAATCCGATTTGATTTGACCGAAATACAGACCTCTGAATATTGAAAAACATTTGGGGAAAACACCATACTAATTAAACAAAATTATTTAAATGAATAATCTTATAACTAAAACTTATAGGCAAAGCCCCTAACGATTGAAAAACCATAGTAGGATTTTTAGAATTGTCATGCGTCTTTGAATTTGGTGTTTGCATAACAATATTTTTGTATTTGTAACAGACCGAAAACATCACTTATGTAAATAATTCAAACAAGATATGCTAAAAAAATCTAATAATAAATTAAATCTTAAAACCATTTGTGTCTGTTTAAAGTAACTCTGAAAACTAACTCTAAATTTTAAAAGCGAGGATCCAAATAAAACTATTTTTAAATAGAATTCTGATAAAATTTCAAATGCTAGTGAATGTTCGAATAATTTGAATAACCTTATTTAAAATCTATGAAAATAGAATAATAATTTAATTTTGTTGAGACACTATAAATAAATAGTCTCATTTTAACATCTCATCATATGCTAAGCTAATAAGAGCTGTTCGAAATTTCGATTTTTGACATTGGCAATCAAGATTTCGACCCGAGTATTTCGAAACAAGTCTTAGAGATGAAAGGGGGTACAAATCTAACCAAACTACAAAATTTTATTTACTAATTATTTTAACCAAAGTGCAAATTTAAAATCAGTCGGTTTTAACATAAATACATTTCATAATTTACCGCTTATTTTTACTTAATTTATTTAGCCATTTAGGGATTTTTTAAAATTTGACTAATTTTAAATAATTAGTCAAAACAATTTTATATTTGTTTATATTTTTAGCTACCTTATGTCTTTAAACTGTTTGGAAATATTTGGTTTGAAATCTTACTTGTATAAATGCAATGTAATTTCTATAAGCTCTTATGCCTATCACATGTAATTAAACTAGGGTTGGTCCCCGAGCCTTCGGGGTTGAAAAAGTCGGGGGTCGGGGTTTTCGGGGTTGACAAAGTCGGGGTCGAGGTTGATCAAAATTGCTCGGGGTCGGGGCTGAAAATAATGTCGGGGTACGGGATCGGAGTTGAAGTGAAAATTTACAAAATCCAGCATTTTTATGAAACATTACTGTTAATTTCAAACATTTTTAGCGCCGGAGGCAAAAATTTTAAGAATTTTGGATGTCGAGAAGCCAGATTTCTTACATTTATTGCGCCGCAGGCGAAAATTTTGAGAATTTTGGAGGTCAAGAGGCCAGATTTCTTCCATATTTTGCGCAGCAGGCGAAAAAAGATCTAAGATCAATGGACCAGATTTCTTCCATTTTTCCTTAATTCTAGGATTTGAACCGAAGATTTCGGATATCAGGATCTGGTATCCGAAACGAAAATTTCCGGATATCCGGCCTTTTATAT